GTCACTCCTGGGCGACTCGCCCACGTGACGACGAGTGAGCCACTCGCTGGGGCGGAGGTCAGGTGTGACCTAATTCAGATTGATATGATGTGCAGGGAGCGGTGGTCCCAAGTGGATTCGGATGACCGGAGAGGTTCTCCGAAGATTTTTCCGAATCCTCGGAACCACTACATCGCCCACTGGACTGGGATGTTAGTACAGTGACATCTACCAGATTTATACTAATCTGTGTGTTTGGAACATGAAATTAATGTCGCCAAGCCTTCCAGCATTCTGCGTGTTACAGTTAGTTAAGTACAGTCAGTGTAGTCCGGGGCCTTGCTGACATGCGGCTGGGGAGAGTGAGTCTTGAGCTGAGCTGAGTCGTTTAACGCTGTATTATTAAATATTGCAATTAGGTTGGTAAGTCAGTTAGTAACACAACACACCTGCCTTACCTTAGCTAGCCATTAATTAACCAGTGCAGCTGTGCAGACTCAGACTTAGACAAAGATGGCAAAATTTCTAGCTTATCTATTTAGTAACATTGCTTCAATGGTTCCAACGACTAAAGAAGCCATCATTGAACAATTTAGAATAGTTAATTAAGCAGATGAATAATAATAAGAAGATATCAGGTAGGTAGGACAGTCCCTGTGACAGTGACATTGATTCCAGCTCATGTCAATGAGTCAAGTCCAGTTTGATTTAACTGATCATCGATCGATTTGCCCAGGAAAAGTTGACTGTGACACAAGCTCCACTGTCCGGTGAGTCGGTCAAGCAAGCAATCAATCACTGATGATGAAGGAACGAACAGGAGTGTTTGTCGTAATACACAGAATGGTCAACAGCGATGCATGCTTGTTTCTTGTCGTTGTCCTTGTCTACAGGTCTGCCTGCAGCCGGTCGGGGAGTTTGCGTCTCCGTGCCGACTTTGCAGACCAGAACATGTTGACGCAGGACTGTCTTTGCCGCTCAGTGCATTACCTGGTGAATATATAAATACAATTTAGCAAGCTTAAATTATTAATTAACTAGTTGCAAGGAAGATCTGTCCATATTATTTAATTCTTTTTCCTCAAGAGGACGAGTTACCTCGAAGACCTATAATAGCAAAGTCGTTCTGATGTGAGACCCTTTACTAAGTAACCAACAATTTCGCTCTACTGCAAGTCAGCACTGACACTGCTTCTGCATGGGTTTGAGTCGACTCATTGATTCATTGATTGACGGCTGGATTGCCGGACTCATGGACTGATTGAGCTTCCTTTTTTCTGGAATTCTTGATTGAAAATGAAGATTGATTCATTGATTGATTAGTTGTTGATGATTGAATGTGTTTTTGGGATGGATGCACTTGGCACAGAAGCGAAAGCTCATCATCCGAGATGGGCTGAATTGGGGCAGGAGTGTCTTAGTTATGAGCCGTTCATTCCGTGCATTGCCTTGCCAATTGGACCAAGCAAACCTTGAGGCATTGTCAGTCAGCCACACACATAAATAATGGTATTATGTGGCTAATGATCTGATCACCAGCTAAGCTACAGCTAAGGCATGGCCAAGCAGCAGGTGAATAAGAATGCATATAATCTAGTATGACATGACAAACTTGAAATTTAGTGTTAGTCTAGAATATCAGAATACAGTCAGCCAGAAGCATCGTTGCCAGGCACAAGCAGTGGCAGATGATAAAGACAGCTGGATGGATTTGAACTGACTGTTGCCAGGCACAAGCAGGGCAGATGATAAAGACAGGTGGATGCATTTCAAGTGACTGAATGAAAGAAACACGTTACTGCCGTCTGAGAGGTAGGTGGATCAACGAACTAACTAGTCTCCTTTCAGTTTAACAGCAGCACTTCGGCGGCGGCACAGCGGCGGCACATTGCCTTCATGGGCTGCCCTTGGATTGATTGAGGCCCCGGCAAAGTCTTGCATTTGGGCTTAACGGAATGGAAGAGGAAATAACAGGGGAGGGAATAATATTTTTTCCGAGCAAGTAGACACGTTTCAGGTTGCATTGTTGAAACAAGTACAGTACTAGTAGAGTACAGTTGGTACATTTCTCATTCAGCTGCACCTTTTTGGGATTCCTTCCGGACTGTCAGTGGAAATGCATCGATGGCCTTCAGAAGTCTTCAGTCGTCTCCCTGGGCAAATCCAAATTGGGATCCAGGTGTTGTGGGCCGGCTTGAATTTGTTTTGCTTCTCAGATATTGTGTTTTGCTTCTGAGAAGCATGGTTTGCTTCTCAGAAGGTTTTTTGCTTCTGAGAAGCATTCTGTCCTTATTCATTTATGACTAGCAAAAGTCAAAGCGGACTTTGAGAAGCAAAATTTGGATTTATAATTCCCAATTTGGTTTTTGTGGTTCCAAATTGGGTTTTTATCGTTGCTTCTCAGAAGCAGTCTGTGGTTTTGCTTCTCAGAAGGTTGTTTGCGTGGGGTGGCAGTTCTGACGCGGCGGGCGAGCCAAGCCAGCATCCTTCCGCAGCTATTTGAATAGCTTTCCTCTTAGGGTGCTGAACAGCCCTTGTACTCATCCCTAAGACCTGTGTCCATGTGCTGAACAGAGACTGACCACTTCTTTTCAATTTCACAATTTACACACCGTTACCTAGACATGACCTGGAGGAAAGTAAATTTCTGAACATCAAACTCCTGGTAATGTCATACTATGACACCAGGTAATTTAAGGTAAGCATCCAACCGATGGACCAAGTAATCAGAATGTACCAGAGGCAGAGGGCACAGACAGCAAGGACACACAGCAATTGCACTTGGTCAGTCGTGACAAGAGGCGCCTCCGTGCCTGTAGCCTTACTCACATTGCCATTTTAGTTGCATTCCGAGGGCTCATGAACGGTCCGGTGCATTTCCCTCTGGAGTGGTACACTGCCTACATCTACTATGCCAACTTGCGAAGAGGGCACGTCAACGTGTCCAGGAACCGGCCACACATCATGTCAGACGAGGACACAGCAGCGGAGGAGTCTACCGCCGGGAGCAATACAGTTCGGGAAGAGGCTTCCCGGAGCGATCCAGCATCAAACGAGGCAGGCCGGGAAGAGTCTTCCTGGAGGAACGATCCAACCGAGCTTGGTGACCGAAGTTCCCACAGGCTGGACGAGAGGAGCCTGGGCCTAGGCGGCCGAAGCTGTGCTGCTGAGCGGGGAACGTCCGGCTGCAGTGGCATCGCCCAGACATCGTACCAGGCTATTTCCGTGTTCGATGGGAGTCTGAATCTCCGGAATAGCCTGCAGCAGGCTGGTTGCAACTGCGCGGCTCAAGACCTGGTGCATCGAGCAGAGCACGATGTTACACGGGGGGCAGGATGCAGCACATTTCTGCAGACGTTGGCCTGCTTGACAGTGGCAGGCTTGGTATGGTTTGCACCACCTTGTTGCAATTTCATCTGGATCAGTAGATCCCAGCATGGGAGGAGTGCTGAGAGGCCCCTGGGAAATGCTCTGGATTCCCGGGTGGCGTACTACAACCAGGTGGCCGACTGGGTTGCCAAGGCCGGAATCAATCATGTAGTAAGTTTAAACTAACTAAATTTACGTAAGTAATTCAGATCGGGATGCAGCAGCAACAGGTTATAAAATTGCTAGCTTTCTGTCAATCTGTGTTTCACATGTAACATACTGCCAGGAGGGTCTTAATAATTAACCCCTTGCTAGCAATCTCAGATTAGCCCTGCAGATAGCACGGTTTAAATATGGCAGGTTTATATAATTTCTTTAATTACTATCTGCTAATAGCCATCACTCACTGACGAGGCCATCTTGGCTGTGGCAAGCATCGGTGGGGTCTTTGTCCTGGAGAATCCATTGGGGAGTACCCTGTTCCATTATCCGGCTATCCGGGATGCTTTGATTGCTACAAATGCTGCACGAGTGACAGTGTCCGTGGCTGCCTACGGGGGAGTGACCCGGAAACCGCTCGAACTTTGGGGGACAGCCAGATGGCTCTGGAAGCTGGACCTGGACGCCAAACGTCGGTTGAGTCGAATCAACACGGGGAGATTGTCTTCCCTAGTCACAAGGGACGAAGAAAAAGTAACTGGAAGAGCGAGCGAGATGAGCGACTCGGCAATTTATCCGCCCGACTTCTGCGACACAATTGCCCGCCTCCATTCGGAGGAACAACAGCGGCTGAGGCAAGGGGCCGAGCGTTCAGTTGGAGCCACTCAGACTCAGTGGCCGAGACCCTGAGTAGTTGGTCAGTGGCGCTTTGGGGGACTGTGTCCCAGGAGTAGTGGCTCCGATCAGACTCAGTGGCCGAGACCCTGAGTAGTTGGTGAGTGGCGCTTTGGGGGACTGTGTCCCAGGAGTAGTGGCTCCGATCAGACTCAGTGGCCGAGACCCTGAGTAGTTGGTGAGTGGCGCTTTGGGGCCGGGGGACTGTGTCCCAGGAGTAGTGGCTCCGATCAAAGGTGACGAGCCAGTGTTAGCGTCACGGGACTCTCCGGAACCGAGGTGTCGTGCGTGCAAAATCAGGATTGGAGCAGATTCATTTGATGTCGATGTGAGGTTGTCAATATTATTATGACTTGAGCTCGGCCTTTGGCGTGGAGCAACTTGCTAGACTTATCTGCAAGTAATTTAATCAAATTACAGACTTGAAACGGAATTGTGAGGTTAGTTCAACCTTCAGTGACTCAATTCAATAGGCAGGTTCTGACTTTCAGTAACCGACAGCCACCACTGCCTGGAGTAGTACTACCACGCTTACGTCGTTGCTTAAAGGCTTATATCGAATGCACCCGTCGGAATAGTACTACGACTACAACTGCTACGACATCATTATTACACATTGGTGTTAGTATTTTTTGATACTGTGACCCTGACTTATACTCTTACTTACTTACTCACTTACCTATCAGACACAAAGTACTTGCTGACTACTACTACTACTACTACTACTACTACTACTACTACTACTACTACTACTACTACTACTACTACTACTACTACTACTACTACTACTACTACTATTTAATTAGTATTATTACTAG